CCGTCATGTCTATGAAATAGTTGATGGTGATGGCGATGATGATGATGATGATGGTGATGGTGATGATGATGATGATGATGATGATGATGATGATGATGACGGTGATGGTGATGGTGATGGTGATGATGATGCTGATGCTGATGATGATGATGATGATGATGGTCATGATGATGATGATGATGATGATGATGATGAGAAGGAGGAGGAGGAGGAGCAGGACGAGGACTGCAAAGGCGATGGTAATTGCGAGGATGATGGTGATGTTGATGCTGGTGGCGATAAGGAGACTTTTCTCCAGCATCGCTGTGTTCGCCGTCATCACCATCACATATCATCACAATCATCGTTAGCAGCAGCATCACACTAATTGCTCATAGATGCCGAAGGCAGCAGCCGAGCCATGAAGTGAAGCTTTGCTCTGGTGACGGCAAAAAAACACTGGGCCGCCGGCGCTTCGTTACTGCCTGAGCCTGGCGCTGGAGTGTGCTGGGCTGCTTTGAGATGCTTTGAGTCTCTGCGAGTGCACAGCTGCGTAGAGGACTTTGTCAGAAGAGTGCACCAAGAAGGGGTTTGCAGAAGGGGATGGCCTCTGGACAATATGCAAAGAGCACACTTCCCTCAGCCCGAAAGACCCAGAGACATCCGTGTGACGCCCGACATAGCCCCAGAGGTCGCCCCCGGGCCTGGCCTGAACTCTGGTTCAACAGGCGGCTGTACTTAAACCAGTCGGCATGTTCTGCGCACAGGGCAGGGGAGGGCAAGAGAGGAGAGGAAGCTTCGGAGCTGACGGTACTAAAGCTTCGGCTCAAGATCGACGAAGCCTACAGCTATGTCACCGTCCTGTGCGAAGCTCCCACCCGAGCTCTGACATGCTCTGTTGACAGGTGCTCCCTTTGCGGTAGATACAGCTTCGCGCTGCAGGGTCCAATCTGCACTATTCACTGGACGCTCCACCTTGTAAACCCGAAACTGAGCCAACCGCGCACACCAGGTTCAGTGGCGGCCTTTATGGAGCCATCTCTGGAAATATGCCCTGTGCGCCTGCAGGACAGAGCAGGGCAGAGGTCAAAGTGGGTGCAAGACTCCGGGATTGTCCTTGCTATGGTTGGGGGCCCGCACGTGCCGGTCGAAGCCTCAAGGCTTCGGCTTGCACCAGTGTCGGCAGCTTATCAGAAACTCCGAACAAGGGGCACCAGTACTATGTACTGTACTATGTGACTATGCCCTTGGTCCAAGCCCACATCCAATGCTAAAGCCAGACGCCGCTTCCAACACTCTGCAAGCCACTGATGCCATTCGGAAATGCGTACCTTGGGGCAAACCTGGGTCGCTGCTTTGATGTCCTGCAAGCTTTCGAGATTGGCTCAGGATCTCGCCGATTGCGAAGGTCGGGCTCTCACATCATTGGGCGATCGGTGGAATTGAGAAGATGTGTGGGCGTGGGTGACTTGCAAAGCAGGTCAGGCTTGAAGTTCGAGGGCATTCTGAGCTGCCCTCCTGTGGGCACTAGGGGTTACCTAGGCTTCGGCTTCTCGGTGAACTGTGGTCTGTCGCAGCACTATTCTATTGTTCACCCATGACGTTGTAAGCCTGTGTAGGCTTTTCTCCATATCTGGGTCAAACAAGGATTCAGTCTCAGCTATCAGTCAATGTCAACTGGGATCGTTCCCCAATGCTGCCCGGCAGGAACGTGAAACAGAAGAACGAGCCGTGCATCCCTCGTCAAGCACAGCCACTTAGCCACGGGCACCTACCACGTCGTCGTGAAGTAATGCCAGACAAAACTCAAGACGCTCAAACCTGCTGCAAGAAAAGGTCCGTTGCCCAGCTGATCAAGTGATACGCTGTATCCACAACGTTGATGATGCCTCAGCTATACTCCAGATAGGTGAGATAAGCCGCAAAATTGACGAGCTACTACCCCCCAAGCCGAAGCCCTTCAGAGGAACCCGCAAACACGACCTCCACCTAGCTTGTAAGCGAGGTCCGGGACAGAACGTTTGACAGCATCGGCTTGCAGACCTCTGTCCATTGCAGTGGAAGGTGCAAAGGAAATCATCAAGGTCGCAGTTGCCCTGAGATCAAACTTGGGCTGCTTGCTTCACGATAGTGAACAGCCAGAGCCTCCAGACTCCGGACCCCTAGCCTGAGAAAGTCTTTGCCATAATGATGATCCGCATCTTTTTTGCACCGAGGCCAGACATCAATCTATATGAGGAAGCTTCAGCATCCGTTGAGTGGCCACGACGTCTTGGACACATGACGCACCCATCGGACCAGGGACGGGCAGGGAGGGAGACTTGAGCACATCGTGCCCGCGGCCTCTTCTCAAGAAAGGCTCCTCAAAATCCTGTGAACAGCTACTATGATCCGCATCTTTTTTGCACCGAGGCCAGACATCAATCTATATGAGGAAGCTTCAGCATCCGTTGAGTGGCCACGACGTCTTGGACACATGACGCACCCAAATCGATGTGCTGGCCACGTTGCACCGCACATGTGACTGGTAAAGTTAGGAAATGCGACTCCAAAGATTGAAGCACCAACGAGAGAGGACAGAACTCAGAAAGGCCTGCGCAACTCGTTGACAGAAAGGCCTGGGATATGCCACGGCAATCTTTGTGAAGAAGTCGCCCTGACGGTGCCCAACAAACTGTTCATGCACATGGTTGGAGAAAGAGCACCGATTCTGTCTTGTATGGCAATGTTTGCAACACGGCGTGAGATCAACAAAGGCAGACATCAAACCAGTGCGCCTACGCCAACGCTGATTATCACCACAGAAGTCAGTATACTCGAACTTGGTTTGAGGATGTCGAAGAAGAGACTTGAACTGCTTGCACAACCACATGGGGGACGACCAAGGATTCTCAATGCAGAAAGGTACTTGTTTTGCCAGGCAAATTTCTGCAATGCTGGTAGCGAAGCGCATGAGGCCATCTGCCTGACATACTTCTGTTCGGCACTTCCAGTTCGAGCACGGCATTCCCATCCACACAGCAATCACGCGATTACTGCCACTGCTGACAACTTTGCGAACCGACTGCTGAAACCGTCGTTTCGTCAAGTCAAACTGAATGCCATATCGTATGTCAATTTCATAGACATCCGCTATCCCTTTGAAAGCTTTACGCAAAGAAGCAGCCATGCGACCACGGCCAGAGAAGAGCACCAGGATCAGAGGAGAAGTGGAACTGGAGGCTTTTGCCCTCGTAATATCTTTCCAATCTTGCTCTCGCTGTCTATGCAGTGGTCGTGTTGTGCAGGGCTGAGACGAGCGAACACCTCGGGTAGCCTTCCGCCATTCACATACCGCCTCACAGAGCTGTCGCTCTGCCATCGGCCTCGCTTTTTGATCTCGGCCAGGGTCCGCAGGTTTTCCAAAGCATCTGTTGACGCCGATCCATGCCGCATCTGGTAGGCGTTCTCCACCCCCACCGCAACAAAACCCAGCGCCTGACAAGCCTCCTTGAAATTCCGAGACCCTTCCTCGACAGCGAAGCTGAACACACGATCCTCGGCGCCTTTGCCCTTGCGCAGTCGCAGTAAAGCCGGCCCCAACCACTGCAGGTACGGCTGGTCCACCGCCAGTGCCTCGTCGAACTCGCCCACTTTGGAAGGCTTCAAACAGTCCAGTCCTGCGTGACTCGCGTTCAGGATGAACACAAAGAATTTGTTCATCCTGGAGGGCTTGACCACGTGCTGCCAACGGAGTTGTAGGCTCTCTCCGGGCCGACAGGTGAGCGCCCAAGTCAGCGCTGCCCACAAAGCAACCTCCAGCTTCAGCTGCGCAACCATCCAGTTCAGAATGGCACACATCATCGGCCATGGAACGCCCACTCGCCCGATGGCAGGCGATAGTTTCCGGAACCCCTGCATGGCGCGGCTGATTCTTGGCAAAGCTTTCAACGGAGGCAGATTGGGGATGAAGTATCGCAGCGCGGCCACCACAGTGGCGACTTCTGACACATCCGCTCCTTCCCAAAACAGCTCCTCCAGGTAGACGGCCACGCAGCCTTGCCAAAGGTCCAAAACCTTGATCGTGACATTCTGCCCGCCGTTCGCCGCTAGCCAGCTTTCCCACTTTGCAAAGGCTCCGCGGTAGCTCTTTTCTCGCGCTTCTGAGACACTCCGCGTTTCCAAGAAGGTTGCCATCTGAGCTCGCTCCAGCATGCTCGCAGCTGGCCGTTTGAGTGGATGACGTGAGCCCCTGGCTTCCGCTCGAGCTTCGCGTCGATTGAGCGCCGTCATCCTCGATGCTGTGTCGGCCACTTCCTGCCCCTTTGTCGATGTAGCGCTCGACCTCATTAAAGGCCCTTCGGCGCCACCCGATGGTGCTGAGTTGACGGCCCGCTTGAGCATGATCCGCAACCCACGCCTGAGCAGCTTTCACGCCATCAAAGGCATTCAAAGGCTTTCCCCGGCTCGGACGATCAGCTGGGTTGAGCTCACTGGGAATCCAGCGCAAAGCCAAAAACATCCCCGTTGCAAACATGAGAGCAGCATGTTGACGACAAACACGGTTCATACTACCAGCCGACGACCTTCCCTTGCTCAATGCCAAGACTGCCGACATGCTATCAGTGAGTACGAGATGCTTCTTGCCATGCTGCCTCCGCGAACGTGCTAAGTGTTGTCCTAGCCACACGATGGCCCGGCCTTCCAGGATAGGAATCGGCTCTTCCCGCGTCCATCTTGCACCATCGACCTGCCGCCAATCGCTGCCAATGAAGGTCACGGGAATTTCGTGGACACCAGGCTCGAAGTCAACCCGCCCCCCTTCAACAATCTCGCTCTCCTCCAAGGTGCTAAACCTCCACCGCTCGTTCACCCGACCAAACTCTTTCACCTCCTTGTAGTCCCGACGCGTGACAGTGACCCCCCTTCCCCAAAACGAAGCATCCGTAGCATGAACCTCTTCAGACCACTCCATTCCCAAATCACGATGTAAAAGGGGAAGTAAAGAAATAGCCCAGAAAAGTTCCCGCCGTACTGCTCCCCAAAGAAGAGTGTCATCACCGAAACCCCGACGGATGTACACGTAGCAGGCCTGAAAGATCGAGAGAAATTCGCGGCGGATGAGTCCTGCGAAAGTGAGGTGGCCGACAATCTTCTCGAGTGTCTTTGAACTACAACGGCCCCGTTTGAGAAGTTCTTGCACTCCAAGACGATACTTCCACAAACGACCCCTGCTGAGACGAACAGCCGGCTCATGCTCGGAGAATTCCCATCCCAACGTTTGGCCACCGACGCTAGCCTCGATATCGTGTGTAGGTAACCCGCGCTCCTCCAGTGCAGATTGTACTTGCTCGGCACGACGACGAGCGATCTTGGGATCCTGAGAAAGGCATAAGAAATTGTCAACATACTCAGTGTGGATAAACGGCTGCATGTTGGGAGGAACCTTGTTGTCAGATAGACGGTTGTAATCCCCAATGCCCTCGAGGCCGTTCACCACGAACTCATGACAATACTGACATATCCAAAGAGCTTGAGTCCACCCCATGGGCACCGCGCGGAAAACAGGGAAAACCTTCTCATGGGGAGAAATGCGCCCCTCGACAGTTTCCTTCACCCCAAGAAGATCAGCACGAACTGGCAGCAACCCAAAGAGATCGCGAAGATTAGCTGGTAGCTCGATTTGGTAAAAGGCGTCGGCAATGTCCACGCCCCCTAGCGCAATCGGTGGTCCTCCATCGACCTCGATGTTGCTGAAGCTGCTCCCCGTGGCGAGCCGAACGCCTTCAGGGTCATCGAACCAACAGTTAGTGAATCTAGCGTCCACCACCAGCCGCTGCTTACCATTTTTCTTCCACACGGTGAAGACTCCCACGTGCTCACGACAGCCTCGCCGGTACTCAACCACACCAGCCTGATGAAGCCTACGAACCAGATCACAGTAAATACGTTTGTTGTGCTTTATGTGCGGATCATAGTACGGAACCTTCAGACCCGAGGCGGCAATATTATCACCTGCCCGAGCCCTGTCAAAAAGCTTTGCAGTCAACACTCTCTCTACATATCGAGCCCCATCCCCAAGGATCTTCTCCAAGGGGGAGGGTGACGACCCTGAGCGAGGCAAAGACACTAAGTCTACTGAGAGTGGAGCCAAGGTGGCAGGTTCTCCTACGTATCCTTGGCGCGCCCGAAGCTCATTAAAGGCTCCCGGGCCATCCAAATCAGGTGGCGGCTTCCCAACTGAACGCACGGCCTCACGAAGCCTGTCATGACACAAGGCCTGTGCAGCAGTCGGTCGCCCAATGGCGTCTTCAAAACTGCCTCCGTCCTCAGCACCGCTATAAAGGGCATTGAGGGTGCTCACCATATCGTTGACCCAGCGCTCGGCATGTTTGGATGCCAGTCTTCTCCGAGCCACCGACCTAGAGCAAGAAACACCATTAAATCCTGAAGCGAAAGACGACCAAAAAGGTAGAGGAAAAATCCCTCGCTGGCGAGGAACGGCCTCCGTTCTTGAAGTCATGGAAAATCAAAGAGGGGCAATAACCCCGAATGGGCTGGATTCTCCCCCAAGGCTGCCCGAGTCCCGGGGGATGCACGGATCACTTCGATGCTGCGGCGCGCTCCTCCCGCGCCTTCCGAACCTGCTTCATGATCGACGCTTCTCGTTCCACTTCCTTGCTAACGAACTCCATGAGTTCTGGGCACACCATTGTGTCCCCAAACTCCCGATGCGTTCCACTGAAGATGGAGCTCTCCATGCGGTAGAGTGTCTCGTCAGCTTGGGCTTTCTCTGGCTTCGACTTACCTGCTCCTTTCCCGGATCCTGGGCCACGCTCACTGTAAAAGTACTCAATGAGCTGTAGCCTTCGGAAAGCAAGCTCCGCCCCAGCAATATTTGACAGGTCCAACCCGTCGTATCGCCCGAGCTTGTCAACGATCTTCAGCAGGCTCTCTTGTTCAGCCACTCCCCATGAGTCCGGCTTCAACTGATGAGTCGAAACCCACCAGCGGTGATGATCTATAGGGCCCCCATTCCGGCGATTGAGGAAACGGCTGCACCAAGTGGAGGTACGCGGCCCAGGCACCGCCCAGTCTTCAAACTTTTCTTCCTTCAGCTCAGTGCTAACCTCCCGCCAGGTTCGCTCGTCGCGCTTCTGATCTTGAAAGGTGATCCCCATCAGCCGGGCATCACAGGCAGCTTCGCGCCCTTTGTAGGCAGTAGCATCCTGGCGCCCAAGGTTGCGAATGCACCGCCACTCACCGCCATCCTGCTTCAGCCCAACTGCCCCACGAAGAACCTCAGTTCCATCCAAGATCACGGTGGCTCCACGACCATACAGAGTGTCCGTTTCAACATACACCCATGTGTCGGGATCTACCGCTGCCGCCGCACCTCCTGCCCCTCCAGCTCGAGCGGGCGGAGGAGCAGCAAGCCCAAGCCCAGCTCCAGGAGGAAAGGCCAAGGCAGCTGCAGCTAAGGCCGCATCCCTCCGCAGCTGTTCCATCTGAAGTGCTCCTGGGTCCCCACGGTATCTATAAGAATTCCCAGCGTTAACTCCAAAGGGAAGATCCCCTTCTGGAGCCACCCGAAACTCTGACAGATCAGTGTTCTCCAGAGACAGCTGCTCAGGATACATGTCCAGATCAGGGGTCAGCACAATGTGCCATCCTCGTCCACACGCGCATGCGGCCAAGATCCTTCTCTCATGCCATAAGGGCGGCCCCGGCAAATCGTAACTAACATACACCACGGTATCCTCAGCCAGGGCCATGTCTCGCTATCTCACTGGCCTCGCAGCTCCCGTCTCCTGCGAAGAATCTCAAGCTGCCCCTGCGCTTGGAGGGCAACCTCTGAACTCCGCTGATGCTCGCTTGTTTGATCCTTGATTGCTTGATGCCTGTTCCTCGCCAAGCTCAAGACAGCCTCTGCGAGTCTCGCAAGCAGCTTAAAGGCCCCAATAAGCAATCCAATGACGATGAACACGATGGCTTTGGCAACTTCCCACTTCCACGACACGTTGCTGATCTCAACCGTACACGTGCAGTTACAGTGACAATTGCGTTCCAAAGCTTCGGGCTCAAACCAAGCAGGGCAGACGGCCAGCAACCATGCGACGCCGAGTGGAATCCCTCTAAGCATGTTTTAGACTTGAGCACATCGTGCCCGCGGCCTCTTCTCAAGAAAGGCTCCTCAAAATCCTGTGAACAGCTACTATGGATTTTGGAACGAGGGATCTTGTTCAGCAGACAAGTAGTTGTAAACAGGAGAGGAATGCGGAGGCAGAGGAGGAGAGGCAGCTGATGATGATGATGATGATGATAAATGCAACATCGAGGCCGTTGCTGGTGACAGCAGTTTTTGACTTCCACTTGACTTGATACCCTGTTGCAGAATCTTGGTCTGCGTCACTGCTTTTTTGTTGTGGCCCTCCCTCGCGGCTTGACGTTTGACTGTAGCTTGCTTGTCCGATTCACATGTATCAGTGGGTAGAGTAGTACGCAGCCAGGATTAGCCCCTTGTCCACTGTTCAGCTTCTCGGCTTCATCCCTTCATACTGGAGTTTCTTGCCAGAAAGTCAAAGACGATCAAACATCAGTAATTACAGCTCAAGCCTTCAAAACTGAAAAGCAAGTACATAGAGGGAGCGTCAGTCAACATGGGCCCAGGGGCTGAAGCTCCGATCAGGTCCTGCGCGATTCCCAGGCCATCCTCGCAGTTATCCATTGCCTCGTGCTCTGCTGGCAGCCACATTCCAATCGGATCCGGCAGGGACACTTTGATGACGACATGCACACATGTGCAGAGCATCGGTATCGGTTCATATCGGTTCGATCGCGTGAACCGCAAATTCGACAGGTTGGACTTGCTGCCAAGATACGGTCTGCTCCTTGGCTGCATGTGGCACGGACAAGCGACCAAGCAGTCCCAAAGCTTGCATTACGCGACAGTCGAGGTACGCATTACAGTAGTGTGCGTGGGTGCACAGCAAGGGAGAGAGCAAGCAAAGCAGGGAACGAGTGAAGGAGCGATGCAATACAGGCGAGGATAGAGGGAAACAGGGAGGGAGAGGGACAGAGAGACAGCTGGGGAGAGAGAGAGAGAGAGATGGAAAAAGAGAGAGAAGGCGAGAGGAGACGGAGAGAGAGAGAGAGAGAGAGAGAGAGACAGAGAGCTAGAGGAGACAGAGAGAGAACGAGAGAGTCGTATTCCCACATCATCTCACCCCAATTGGGACCAAACCGCACCTTACTTCAGGATGCCACTTATGAAGTGCAGAAGCCGCGACAGACGCAGTATAGGGCATATCGAGCGACTTGAAATCCTCACGGCATGGTGACAGGCTCCGATTTCTGAGCCAGGCTTCGCAAGTCGTAACTTCGCCAGCGCAGGCCATGGCAATGGCTGCTGAGGAATCCGCGATGTCCACGATGTCGGTCTCAGCCGTCGCCGGGAGGAAATTTCCACTAAAAACAGCACTGGTGCCAGATCGAAAAGGGCGCGTTCTTCGCTAGCTCAGTCGCCACGTGCTCAAGTGCTCGAACTTCTTGCTAGGGCTCTTCATCACTGAGCTCTGCAAATCCCGAAATAATCCTACCATTCAGTCAGCGTCGCCATGAAGCCGAAGATGTCGTTAGCACAGTTCGGAGGGTCTTCTAGTTCGCCTATGCAGTCGCCGGTCATGGCAACAACCTGGGATTTGCGCTTGGGAGGTGCTGGCTTAGCTGACATTGCAGACGGAAACAAGGCAAGCGTTCCAAGAACGTTGAGCTGCGAATGGCCCGATGAACCAACGGCCCGATCAGAAGACTCGGCAAGGCAGAGCATACCCCGCTGCTTGGTGCAAGCCATCATATTCGTCGCGCGATTCCAAGTTAACAAGGGTTTGATTGGAGGAAATATGTGCAGAACCCTCCTGAGCCCAGGAGCCTGTTGTGCAGCATCGATGAAGTCCATCATGATGGACACTACCCTGGATTCGCAGAAGCATTGCAGAATGTGCACTAACCCATCGATGCCATGATCCTGCGACGAGGAGTTGAGGATTCGAGTCGGACCATGACGCCTGGCCTTGTTGCACAGAAGGGGGGATCCCATAATGCCTCGGATCTTGGCAGATTGGGCAGTCAGGAAGGCGTCAATAGTCATCCTGTCAAACTGAACCCAGCTCAAAACCCCCGCAAGCCTGCATACAGCCCAGCTATGCCCAGTTGCAGACGGATGGTCGAACAGGAGCCAGTTGACCGTATTCGGGCGCCAGCCTCATTTGCTGCCTACTCTGCGTCGCATCATGCTGCTCACCGCCAGTGACATGCGATCCTGTCAACATACACGTTCCGCTTGTGCATCAGCCACCATGTCCCTTATGCAGCCTTCGACGATTGCCTCAGTGGCTGTGCACCGTGCAAGAAGGCTGCAAGAAACGCTTTTCAAAAGCGGTCATGTAAAACGTGCGAACCGGTCCAAATCTGAAGTGTCCTGGCACCAGACGGCTTTTCACACTGCTAGACGGCATGCTACAGAATGAATGCAATCCTACGGCCAGCCTGTACACTGAACACTTTGTTATGACTATGTCACTCTGTCCTGCGATTGACCAGTGAACTGCAACCTGACCTGCCGAGCAGCTTTTGGCCCTTGCCGGCGCAAATCTCAGAGCCCAACTGCGATCAGAGTCGGTGCTCGGTGCTTACTTAATCTGGGGGGGGGGGGCCTTGTGTACGCTCGCTCAGGTCAGGGGCGATGTACATGGAGCTCGGCATGCAATTGAGAGTGACGAAACGGTCAGTGGGTACATTTTAGGCATTGAAGAATACACACGGCTCCTAGAACACACATGAGACCTCACCCTTCTCTGCTTGACAGTCTTTGTGCTTTGACTGCGCAATCTCTTTGTGCGGCGTGCTTTCGGTGCAGTTCTGGTCTACGGACTGCCCTGTACGGGGTGTAAATGGGTTTGGTACACAAATCTCCATTTGCTGGGTTGGCCAGGTTCAGGTTCTTGCGACGGCAGCCCGTCCCGAGGGGACTGGGCTGTGGAGCTGAAAAGCCAGCCAGCAAGAACCTGGTGGTGCCAGCCCTGCTTTCTCCCCGAAGGCGTCTCAAGTCCGCATGCGCAGAAACCTGCCCCAAGCCCACTCACCCCCATTTTCATTTCTACTCCGAAGAAAATCCAAAAGCGCGAATACTCGAAAGCTCCCGATGCGATATTATCTGCCTGATCAGCCAGAGCTGCAGGCTCCGCATTGCGAAGCGAAGGGCCGAAGGGCCCCGTGCCAGTCTTCGAGGAGCAGCGTGGCACGAGCCGAAAACAACACTGGTGGGGTCCTTTGAAAATGTTCTAAGTTCTATGTGAATGTCTGTGGAGCTTTAGTGGTAGCTTTAGTTACACGAGTTCGAAGCTCATGCGATCTTGATGATTGCAGCCTTCTGCCGACAACAAACTTTGTTGAAGGAAGCTAATCAAGCTGTCCCTTGTTGACAATACTTATGTCGGAGCCTGAATGGAAGACTCGCGGAGGCAGTAGCGGCAGCTGGCGGAACCTTCGGCCTTTGGCCAACCGTGGGGCGAGCAATGACTATCCATGATGGTCCTGCAGAGTCTTGATCTGTGCCACAAGCGGCCAAACTCACATTGCCTGCAAAGGACAACACAACCATCAAGCTTCTTTCTTCGCCCAAGCTTATTGCAGCCAGAGGTGGGAAACTCGAGCCAATCACAACTACTACTGCAGTTTGGTGTGGCTTCAATCTGAGCTTTGAGATCGTCGACCAACACTAAAGCTGAACCTTCGGCTCGGCCGCAACGTCTTCTGCCTGGACCTGGTCTTTGAGAACAAGAAATGGAAGCACTTCGATTCATTCCATCAGGATCAGTCTCTGTAAACAGCCACGGGAGGACCTGCTCCTAGCTACGGTATGCTACGGTGACCTCATTGGGTCCAAGCTCGTGCTCACCTGCGCCTCTGGTGTGACTTCAGATGTTCCTCTAAAGACATGACAGTGAAGGCTCTTGCTCTTGCCCACAGAAGTCCCGAAACAAGGCAAACAGGCTCCTTGACAGAAGTCCTTAGCACAAGTTTAGATGGGACTCCTGAGTTCTCGGCATACTCTGTGAGCCGACAGTATCCCTAGCCCAGACTGGTCGGGGCCGGTGACAAATTGGACCAAGCGCTTCGGAAGGTCATCTGGTAAATGGAAGCTTTTTCGGCGAATGAAGCGAAGTCTCAGGTCAACCTCGGCTCTCTGAAGCGCCGTCAGAACCTGTGATGCGACGCGACTGCCATGAGCCTCTCTGAGCCACCGGCCTCGGTGCTACTCGAATGCCTCTCCGAGACATGGACAAGAAGCACGGGGCTTTTGTTGCCGAAGTGCGTCGCATCCGTCTCTCACTTTCATCTGGACATGTCTATGCCATGCTATGCCGCTATGCCGCGAAGATCCGGCCTGAAAGCCCTCGAATCCTTCCTGGCAGGTTTGCGTTTTGCCTAAACGCTTGACTTTCTAGAGTTTAGACTGTGATCATCACCCGCTGAGACAGGAGTCCTCGGGCTGACCCAGGTCACCCATATAGAACACTTCCTCAGCTTTCGGTCTAAAGTCTAGGGTTCGATTGGATTTGTCAAACTGCGGAGCCGAGCGTAGAGAAAAGAAACATTCGACTGGGTCCCTGGAGCCCCGGCCACCGGCGAGAAAGGGACAAGACATGACTCACGTCTTTTCGAAACTTGGACTCCTCTTGCGAGCGGAGCTTACTGTCCCACGGAGTCCTCAAAGGCGCCCAACGTTCGGGGAAGCCCAAAGTGAAATGAGAGCTGGCAGCCAAGCGTCCACCTCGGTGTCGTGCAGCGTCATGAGCTGGCTTGGCTGCTGGTCCTCATGAAGGAGACAACCATAGATCTTATCTGCCTGTGTCATGACTGTCTCTCGAGGCTCATCCTCGGACCTGGGAACCACCGATGGGCCAACTCCGACCACATTTACTACAGCCACCATCCCACAGACAAATGTGCCCATGCGCTCTCGATCCGAAAGCTGCTCTTGTGAAGCCGGCGGCACAGCACGCCCGGCTTCAGTAGACATCTGGAAAACCACCAGGACTGCCTGCGCCGACAGGCGCCGTCCCTCGGAGTTACGGCCGCCACGCATTGCGTTTGGATTAATCCTTGGCGAAGCCCCAACGTGCGAGAGAGAGAGAGATAGAGAGAGAGAGAGAAAGAGATAAACAGAGTGGGCGTGCTGAACGTGTCTGAAGGTACTCTGCTTCACCCTGTCATATCACATACAGCCGCAGGTCTGTGGAAGCCACCTCGGGCATCACGATCTCCTCTCGCTCTGTCTCCGAGGATCCGACTGGCTATTTCCATATGGCATCACGTAGGCACCTCTGATGAGTCAGGGTCCGGGTTCTGAAGACGTCATGTCGTTGAGAGGTCAACCAGGACTGCCCTGCATACTAAGCAGGTGGACTAGCGAGACGCCTCTATTTTCGATGCAACTCTACAATGTTCACAATGTTCTGACACAAGTCCCTCATATCACTTCGGCGTCGTATTCATGTGCACATACACAAGGCCGCAGAGAGAGAGAGAGGGAGCGAGAGCGAGAGCGAGAGCGAGAGAGCGAGAGCGCGAGAGAGGTCAAGAGGTATGAGGAGGCGTAAGGAGGGTGAAGGGGTGGGTGAGTGTAAGGGTCGAGGGGGGGCTGAGGTTTGGAGGGGAGGAGGGTAAGAGGGAGGGGAGAAATGAGAACAGAGGAAGGCAAGAGTGAGACAGACAGCATTTCTCATGCAAAGAAGACCGCTGTTGACTCTATTCTGCAATGCCCAAGGCGCTGCCCACTCGCAGCACACCCGCGTTGTCCATAGCAAGAATGGGGCCATTGTGCGTGACGTCTATCACGCCAAGCCTGTTCTGAACAGACGAAGAAGCAGGACTCACAATTCCAAGCTTGTTGGGAGTGCCTTAGAATCGTCAGTTTGCGGGAAGAAAACGGACTGTACCTGCTTACACACGTCCGGATATGCCTCACCGTGCGAGCTAGACCAGGCGCCCACATGAAATCGCAATCCCCACGAGCCTGACATACTGTGTAGACCTATTATCTTGTAGAAGAAGCTCCGGCCTTGTGGTGGCATCTTGGAAAGTCGCCAGGTGATCGGAGTTGAGCTAAGGTCGACATGCTCTGTTGTAGGATCATGCGCACAACAGCGCCTGACTTCAACCAAAGCTGTTCGGTCAGCTAGGTTGCTGACTTGATAGAAACCCGAAAGGCAAAATAAGAACCTGTCGGGCTCACAACGGCCTACTGAAGTCTCAAGCTTTCTATGTTGAGACGAGCTCTTGTTATTTGGTCCTATAACTTGGCACGCTCATCTTGGGAATCGCTGCATGATCTGGATGCTGCCAGGCATCTTCGGCCTTGTAGCTCCTGCTCAGACGCACCTCTTGGGCCTCGAGATCGTGAAGTGTGAAGCGTCGGAACCCAAGCACGGAATGGCTCGCGTGAAGCGATGCGCAAGGTGCCTTTATCCGAAGCTCCTGGGTGGAAAAGAAAGAGCCAACCGAAGCTCAAGCACCCGTAGCACACACAAGAGCCTGCATGTAACATGTAACAACATTGATCCGGCCAAAGCGGGGCCTGCCGAAAAAGAAAAAAGGCACGCAGGCATGGCCGGGCCTTGTCTTCCTCCGGCCTTGGAGCTTTCAGGCTTGCGACGCTCAGGCACAGTACAGCCGTTTATCTGAACTTCGGGCCGGCTTCCGCACGGGGCGCACTGTGAAAGTTCAGGAAGGACCATAAACCAAGTGGTGATCGCGTCTGAGGCCCCTGACGATGCCTCGTCTTGGCCTTCAAGTGCCGAGGCAAGAAAGTGTAGTTTCTGTGGTCTCTGATCAGATGCTTTCAAACTGACAAGTGTTGCCAATCTCGGCACACCAACCCTTTGTTCTGAAATGACCTCTGAGTCGATACACGAGAGAAGACCTGCTCGTCTAAGCCTACGCGTCGCTCAGACCGCAGTCTGACTCCCAGGATCTTGGAAAAGCATCAACTACCACTCAACCCTCGCGCTTGGCCTTCTTGCGGCGGCTCCAGGACGCGATACTGAAACCACTCGGGGTGTTCTGCAGTGAGCGGTGGAGCGGCGTCCCGATTCAGGCTTCAAAGAAAGTTTGGGTCACTGGCACAGGGCTTCTGATTCCCTTCGAATGATTTCAAGAGACGCCGGACCCTTGCACACAGCTGCAATGATTGCGACTGGTAGAGAGCCTCATTACCGTTGACGACGTCAAATAGAACCCACTATGGCAGAGCCTTGCCGCAGCCACTTCTTGAGGAAACCTTCGCGCTCCTGACCAGGCGACTTACCACGGTTTCGGGGCCTTCGGGCTTCGGAGGTGTTGACAGCGGTACTCGCGGTGTTAGAGCCTGGAGCTGCAGGATTGAGAAAGGGTTGCTGACACGAGTTGGTTCCAAGGTCGTCAAGCCTTCATGCAGAATAAAGAGCCTCAGTGCTGTCAGGCAAACTGAACCAAAGCGAAACTTAGCGAAGACAAGCAGCGAAGAGTCGAACCGCAGTAGAATTGTAATCCATGCTTGTTCAGAACGGGCCGCAAAGCCGCAATGTCCATCCGGTAATTGCAAACCAACGCCCCAGCACGAAGCCAGGCGATTCAAACTCATGACAACCGCTGCACACACGCAGAAAGGCATCGTTTCGAAAGCCGCCCTGAATTCCGAAAGGCCGGGACAATTCCTTTGAGCGTGCCTGCGGGCAGCTGTCAACGGCCGACTTAGTGTCCTGCAAATGCAGCGGCATCAGAGCAAGGAGTTCTGCATCCCATGACGGAATCTCTCCCGACGAACTTACTATGCCTATAACGACCTGCCATGTCCAACTCCCGATTGCATGAGAATGACATATCAGAAGACGGCCTGCGGAGCAAAGAAGGATTTCAAACGACTGTCGGAACAGAGGTGTGCAGCCACGCAGGCTGCAGCGCGCAGGTTTCAGCGTTGACTCTGTAACACGACCGCGAGAGATCCAAGGGTCCAGGGCCATGGTGAGCATATCATTGAGAGCATCGACGACATTGATAAGGCCTTGGCGAAATCTGTACCCTATCGCGTGATCAATCAAGGCAGGCCATGCCAAGATGCTTGTGTCCCTGCTAACCTGATCATGGCTTATGCAGCGAAGAAGCAAAGGAAGACGTCAACGTCGCAGTTGCCCTTGGCGGATGTCT